AGCATTCACTGGTGAGGTAGGAGCATTCACTGTCGAGGCAGGAACAATGACTGGTGAGCACAGTTGATGGCCCTGGGGTTGGAACAGGCAAAACTGCAAAAAGTCAGTATAAGGTAGGTCACTGCTGCCGTTTGATTTTTACACAGCCAAAGGAGATTGAGCAATGGTGTCAATGAGAATGCATACAACTGTATAAATCAATAAATATTCTCACCTATCTGCACATTCTATAAGGAATTATTTCTTCATCTACTGGGTGACTGCGGAAGGTCTCGTAAAAATCACCAGCCACTGCTAACTCGGCCCTCATCAGTGATGCTGTTAAGGCAGTTTCTTCTGAAGCTTTTAATATTTTTTTCTCGTGGACCACCACCTGTCTTTTTAAGCTTTCGGTCTTCTATATCTCTGTTTTTATAGTTCTGAAAGAAACAGAAGAAATTAATGCTGTATAACAATAGCAGCAGCATTGGCTTTTATAATGCTTTCATCACCAATGCCTATGGCCAAAGGGGATGCAGAACAGACTAATATCATTTACTGTACATATATGCATCACAAAAGAAATATATGACGGTTTTGTCGGATTTTACAATACAGTAATATTCAAAGAGTGTATATAGTTTAAAAAATGTAAATTTGCCATAAAAATGGAGTACAAAAACATGGTTATACTTTACGATGCTGTTGTGCACTTACATCAGTAGATCGAAAACAAACAAACAAAACATTTTTTGAAGTAGGCCTTAAATACTGTAGGCTACAGTCATATCTGCAAAAAAATTATTATATGATAATATATATAGATATGAGGATTTGTATGCTTCTGAGAAGTCTTTTGAGGTGACCCTTCAAAAATTGAACAAACCTGTTTGAAACTTGTCTTGCCAGAATATTTGGGCTTGCCAGGTGTGTGGGGGAACCAGCCCCAGACTTGCACATTTTTCTTGGTGCACGTCGTGGTCGTAAAATGTTGCTATATAGATTTATATGCTACATAGCTTGGGTCTAGGACAATTGCCGGTAAGTAACTGGCACAAAACATGGAAATAACCTAACTTAACTTGAAATAGCCTAGCCTAGCCTTGCCTTACCTAACAAAATGTTAAATATGACCGATCTACAATTTTTTTTCACTTGACCATAAATTATGAGTCGTCATTTTGTGTATACTGTATAATTATTACAAAAAAAAAACATGAAAATATAGCACTATATCTTAGTGTTCCATGATTGTGTCAGTTATTCACTGGCAAGGAAAGGGGGGCGTAACTGTCCAGAGGGCAGTTGTCCTATGGGGGGGAGGGGGGTAATTGTTCTGAAACCATATAGCTTGTAAAAATTGGCATTACAGATTTCAAACAAGAGAACCTAAAAGTATGGCAGAGGCACCTATTTACTGTTATACCCTCCATACCAGTACCTTTCTTATGAATTCACATTTTTATCAGATAACTCTTAAGAGAAAAATCAATCAATAGGCATATAGATATTATGAAAGTAGACATAAAAAACCCATTTAATTTTATATACAACTCAAAGATATGAAGGAAGGGAAAATGGAGAGGTGAGATGGGAGCTTTCCTTCTGTCTACTTCGGTAGGAGGCGAGCTTCCTCACATGACCCGTCACTTAAATACTCTAATCCTATTTAATTTAGTAACCTAATGGAAAAACACCGTACATTAATAAGCATATACTCTACTTCCTTTTTAAGTGTCCGTAGCTCCTCTTGAGCTGCTTGGCTGTGCGAGGGAGTTGGTCAGAGTTGCTGGCGTTGAATGAGGCGGCAATTTCACCCCAGGCCTCTCTTTTCCGCATTTATTGTGTTGCTAGTAGACCTGCTATGCGCTGGGTAACGGATGCTTGGTCAAGGTCACCTACTACGAGGCGAAACACGCCCGTTGGACGACGGCGTGTGTGTGGGGGCGCGCCCAAACATTTTTGGGCCGCTCCACCCACCCAACCGAGGTGGTGACGTGTGCGCCCAGAGAAGCGTGCGCCGACGAGTCGGCATGCCGCTCATTATTTGGCGTGAAGTTTGAGTGGGGCAGTATATCTATCAAATGTTAACGCAGGTGCCCCAAGACTAGCTCAACCTTTATCATTTGTGGGGACATGGGCTCAAGCGGGTGGGACCCACTATCATCAATTGTTAGGTGAGGATAGAATGGGTCACCCTGTTTGCTTCGAGTTTGTGGCAAGAACTATTCTTAGTTTGCTAGAGTACTAGAATGAGACATGCACCCCGGTCATGTTGAACCACGAGCTGTTATCGCATTGACTGGTGGAATAAATCTCGGTCAAGACACGATGGGCCACTGCATTGAAGGCTGCAGCATATGCTGTGACGGAAACTGTAATGGCTACGTGCACGCCCAGAGAAAAACTGCTGGAACGTGTTCGCCCAGAGAAGCATGGCGACGTGCGCGCCCAGAGAAGCGTGGCGACGTGCGCGCCCAGAGACCAAAGCGTGTGAGGCTTTGATTTCTCACGGACTAATCAGGAGTATTTCACCTCATAGTAGGTCACCGCGACCCGTAGCCGGGGACGTCGAAGGTTCGGTCGGATTGGCACCCCACTGCCGACTCTCTCAGCTCGTCTGAGTGGGGGGGAGGGGGGAGTTCCGCACGACAGGGGGAAACCGCCAGTATCCTGGCTGTCCTACGACAGTCGTAGAGAAGAGCGCCGCCTCCACCTCGACTGTGGGGGTTCGCTCTCACGATGTGCAGAGGGTCGGTGATCCACCAGACCCACCTCGGAACACGGACCACGGAGTCTAGCGTGTGTGCGAGTCGATGGGCTCACTGAGCCTGAAGGCGAGATGAAGGCAACAGGCGCCTGGTGCGTCCTGGGCAGACCCCCAACCAGCCACCCCGACCGCGCTCGCGCGGCAATACGCCGGGCGAGACCCTTTCCCCCACTGTGGTGGGGGAAAGGAGTCTCAACCCGGCAAACGCCGCGCGGGCGTGGCCAGAGACAGCTGGTTGAGGATCTGCCCAGGACGCACCAGGCGTCCGTTGCCCTCATCTCGCCTTCAGGCTCAGTGAGCCCATCGACTCCCACACACGCTGGACTCCGTGGTCCGTGTTCCGAGGTGGGTCGGGTGGATCACCGACCCTCTGCACATCGCGAGAGCGAACCCCCACAGTCGAGGTGGAGGCGGCGCTCCTCTCTACGACTGTCGTAGGACAGCCAGGATACTGGCGGTGGCCCCCAGTCGTGCGGAACTCCCCGGTCCCCCCCCACTCAGACGAGCTGAGAGAGTCGGCAGTGGGGTGCCAATCCGACCGAACCTTCGACGTCCCCGGCTACGGGTTGCGGTCACCTACTACAAGGCGAAACACGCCCGTTGGACGACGGCACGTGTGGGGGCGCGCCCAAACATTTTTGGGTCGCTCCACCCACACAGCCGCATACAAGCTGAGGTGGCGACGTGCGCGCCCAGAGAAGAGCAGCGACATGTGCGCCCAGAGAAGCGCGGCAATGTGTGCGCCAAGAGAAGCGCGGCAATGTGTGCGCCCAGAGAAGCACAGCAACGTGTGCACCCAGAAAAGCGCGGCAACTTGTGAGCAAAATATTAGCCGCTATACTTCTGAAGGCTTTTTTAACTTAAGAAAATTTTTGACAAAATAAATTAATGTAGATTTATTTACTTTAAATCAAATTATTTAATTGTAAAATGTAAGAAAATAAATTTCTAACAGCATGTATATACTTTTATCCTATTCACCACTGATTGGCTTGTTAGCCGCTTGGACGATTGGTCACGTCTGTTACTCACGCACAGGCTCCTGAATGTACCTGAACCTGCTTCAGTGTTGGTGAGGCAGGAGCAATGACTGGTGAGGCAGGAGCAATGACTGGTGAGGCAGGAGCATTCACTGGTGAGGTAGGAGCATTCACTGTCGAGGCAGGAACAATGACTTGTGAGCACAGTTGATGGCCCTGGGGTTGGAACAGGCAAAACTGCAAAAAGTCAGTATAAGGTAGGTCACTGCTGCCGTTTGACTTTTACACAGCCAAAGGAGATTGAGCAATGGTATCAATGAGAATGCATACAACTGTATAAATCAATAAATATTCTCACCTATCTGCACATTCTATAGGGAATTATTTCTTCATCTACTGGGTGACTGCGGAAGGTCTCGTAAAAATCACCAGCCACTGCTAACTCGGCCCTCATCAGTGATGCTGTTAAGGCAATTTCTTCTGAAGCTTTTAATATTTTTTTCTCGTGGACCACCACCTGTCTTTTTAAGCTTTCGGTCTTCTATATCTCTGTTTTTATAGTTCTGAAAGAAACAGAAGAAATTAATGCTGTATAACAATAGCAGCAGCATTGGCTTTTATAATGCTTTCATCACCAATGCCTATGGCCAAAGGGGATGCAGAACAGACTAATATCATTTACTGTACATATATGCATCACAAAAGAAATATATGACGGTTTTGTAGGATTTTACAATACAGCAATATTTAAAGGGCCTGTAGACAGTTTTAAAAAATGTAAATTTGCCATTAAAAATTGAGTACAGAAACATGGTTATACTTTACGATGCTGTTGTGCACTTACATCAGTAGATCGAAAACAAACAAACAAAACATTTTTTGAAGTAGGCCTTAAATACTGTAGGCTACAGTCATATCTGCAAAAAAATTATTATATGATAATATATATAGATATGAGGATTTGTATGCTTCTGACAAGTCTTTTGAGGTGACCCTTCAAAAATTGAACAGACCTGTTTGAAACTTGTCTTGCCAGGTGTGTGGGGGAACCAGCCCCAGACTTGCCCATTTTTCTTGGTGCACGTCGTGGTCGTAAAATGTTGCTATATAGAGTTATATGCTGCATAGCTTGGGTCTAGGACAATTGTCCCCCCCTTGCCAGTGAGTAACTGGCAAAAAACATGGAAATAACCTAACTAACTTGAAATAGCCTAGCCTTACCTAACAAAATATTAAATATGACCGATCTACAATTTTTTTTCACTTGACCATAAATTATGAGTCGTCATTTTGTGTATATAATTATAAAAAAAAAAACATGAAAATATAGCACTATATCTTAGTGTTTCATGATTGTGTCAGTTATTCACTGGCAAGGAAGGGGGGGGGGATAATTGTCCAGAGGGCAGTTGTCCTATGGGGGGAGGGGGGTAATTGTTCTGAAACCATATAGCTTGTATATAGTCAGGGTAAAAATTGGCATTACAGATTTCAAACAAGAGAACCTAAAAGTATGGCAGAGGCACCTATTTACTGTTATACCCTCCATACCAGTACTCTTCTATGGAATTCAAGATTATCAGATAACTCTTAAGAGAAAAATCAATCAATAGGCATATAGATATTATGAAAGACATAAAAAACCCATTTAATTTTATATACAACTCAAAGATATGAAGGAAGGGAAAATGGAGAGGCGAGATGGGAGCTTTCCTTCTGTCTACTTCGGTAGGAGGCGAGCTTCCTCACATGACCCGTCACTTAAATACTCTAATCCTACTTAATTTAGTAACCTAATGGAAAAACACCGTACATTAATAAGCATATACTCTACTTCCTTTTTAAGTGTCCGTAGCTCCTCTTGAGCTGCTTGGCTGTGCGAGGGAGTTGGTCAGAGTTGCTGGCGTTGAATGAGGCAGCAATTTCACCCCAGGCCTCTCTTTTCCGCATTTATTGTGTTGCTAGTAGACCTGCTATGAGCTGGGTAATGGATGCTTGGTCAAGGTCACCTACTACGAGGCGAAACACGCCCGTTGGACGACGGCGTGTGTGTGGGGGCGCACCCAAACATTTTTGGGCCGCTCCACCCACCCAACCGAGGTAGCGACGTGTGCGCCCAGAGAAGCGTGCGCCGACGAGTCGGCATGCCACTCATTATTTGGTGTGAAGTTTGAGTGGGGCAGTATATCTATCAAATGTTAACGCAGGTGCCCCAAGACTAGCTCAACCTTTATCATTTGTGGGGACATGGGCTCAAGCGGGTGGGACCCACTATCATCAATTGTTAGGTGAGGATAGAATGGGTCACCCTGTTTGCTTCGAGTTTGTGGCAAGAACTATTCTTAGTTTGCTCGAGTACTAGAATGAGACATGCACCCCGGTCATGTTGAACCACGAGCTGTTATCGCATTGACTGGTGGAATAAATCTCGGTCAAGACACAATGGCCACTGCATTGAAGGCTGCAGCATATGCTGTGACGGAAACTGTAATGGCAACGTGCAAGCCCAGAGAAAAACTGCTGGAACGTGTTCGCCCAGAGAAGCGTGGCGACGTGCGCGCCCAGAGAAGCGTGGCGACGTGCGCACCCAGAGAAGCGTGGCGACGTGCGCGCCCAGAGAAGCGTGGCGACGTGCGCGCCCAGAGAAGCGTGGCGACGTGCGCGCCCAGAGAAGCGTGGCGGCGTGTGCGCCGAGAGACCAAAGCGTGTGAGGCTTTGATTTCTCATGGACTAATCAGGAGTATTTCACCTATAGGTCATCAAGAATGGGACGCTGTTGGTGCTCCTGGCAGCACTTAACCAATTACCTGACTGGCCACAGAGCTGGGTGAGACCTTGGGCCCACTGCAACGCGGGCGTGGCCAGAGGCAGCCGGTTGAGGATCTGCCCAGGACGCACCAGGCGTCCGTTGCCCTCATCTCGCCTTCAGGCTCAGTGAGCCCATCGACTCCCACACACGCTAGACTCCGTGGTCCGTGTTCCGAGGTGGGTCGGGTGGATCACCGACCCTCTGCACATCGCGAGAGCGAACCCCCACAGTCGAGGTGGAGGCGGCGCTCTTCTCTACGACTGTCGTAGGACAGCCAGGATACTGGCGGTTGCCCCCAGTCGTGCGGAACTCCCCCCTCCCCCCCACTCAGACGAGCTGAGAGAGTCGGTAGTGGGGTGCCAATCCGACCGAACCTTCGACGTCCCCAGCTACTGGTCGCGGTCACCTACTACAAGGCGAAACACGCCCGTTGGACGACGGCATGTGTGGGGGCGCGCCCAAACATTTTTGGGTCGCTCCACCCACACAGCCGCATACAAGCTGAGGTGGCGACGTGCGCGCCCAGAGAAGCGCGGCGACGTGTGCGTCCAGAGAAGCGCGGCGACGTGTGCGTCCAGAGAAGCGCGGCGACGTGTGCGTCCAGAGAAGCGCGGCGACGTGTGCGCCCAGAAAAGCGCGGCAACTTGTGAGCAAAATATTAGCCGCTATACTTCCGACGGCTTTTTTAACTTAAGAAATTTTTGGACAAAATAAATTAATGTAGATTTATTTACTTTAAATCAAATTATTTAATTGTAAAATGTAAGAAAATAAATTTCTAAGAGCATGTATATAGTTTTATCCTATTCACCACTGATTGGCTTGTTAGCCGCTTGGACGATTGGTCACGTCTGTTACGCATGCCCAGGCTCCTGAATGTACCTGAACCTGCTCCAGTGTTGGTGAGGCAGGAGCAAGGACTGGTGAGGCAGGAACAATGACTGGTGAAGCAACAATGACTGGTGAGGCAGGAGCATTCACTGGTGAGGTAGGAGCATTCACTGTCGAGGCAGGAACAATGACTGGTGAGCACAGTTGATGGCCCTGGAGTTGGAACAGGCAAAACTGCAAAAAGTCAGTATAAGGTAGGTCACTGCTGCCGTTTGATTTTTACACAGCCAAAGGCGATTGAGCAATGGTATCAATGAGAATGCATACAACTGTATAAATCAATAAATATTCTCACCTATCTGCACATTCTATAAGGAATTATTTCTTCATCTACTGGGTGACTGCGGAAGGTCTCGTAAAAATCACCAGCCACTGCTAACTCGGCCCTCATCAGTGATGCTGTTAAGGCAGTTTCTTCTGAAGCTTTTAATATTTTTTTCTCGTGGACCACCACCTGTCTTTTTAAGCTTTCGGTCTTCTATATCTCTGTTTTTATAGTTCTGAAAGAAACAGAAGAAATTAATGCTGTATAACAATAGCAGCAGCATTGGCTTTTATAATGCTTTCATCACCAATGCCTATGGCCAAAGGGGATGCAGAACAGACTAATATCATTTACTGTACATATATGCATCACAAAAGAAATATATGACGGTTTTGTAGGATTTTACAATACAGTAATATTCAAAGAGTGTATATAGTTTAAAAAATGTAAATTTGCCATAAAAATGGAGTACAAAAACATGGTTATACTTTACGATGCTGTTGTGCACTTACATCAGTAGATCGAAAACAAACAAACAAAACATTTTTTGAAGTAGGCCTTAAATACTGTAGGCTACAGTCATATCTGCAAAAAAATTATTATATGATAATATATATAGATATGAGGATTTGTATGCTTCTGACAAGTCTTTTGAGGTGACCCTTCAAAAATTGAACAGACCTGTTTGAAACTTGTCTTGCCAGAATATTTGGGCTTGCCAGGTGTGTGGGGGAACCAGCCCCAGACTTGCACATTTTTCTTGGTGCACGTCGTGGTCGTAAAATGTTGCTATATAGAGTTATATGCTGCATAGCTTGGGTCTAGGACAATTGGCCCCCCCCCCCATTGCCAGTGAGTAACTGGCACAAAACATGGAAATAACCTAACTAACTTGAAATAGCCTAGCCTAGCCTTACCTAACAAAATATTAAATATGACCGATCTACAATTTTTTTTCACTTGACCATAAATTATGAGTCGTCATTTTGTGTATATAATTATTACAAAAAAAAGCATGAAAATATAGCACTATATCTTAGTGTTCCATGATTGTGTCAGTTATTCACTGGCAAGGAAGGGGGGGGGAGTAATTGTCCAGAGGGCAGTTGTCCTATGTGGGGGGGGGAGGGGGGGTAATTGTTCTGAAACCATATAGCTTGTATATAGTCAGGGTAAAAATTGGCATTACAGATTTCAAACAAGAGAACCTAAAAGTATGGCAGAGGCACCTATTTACTGTTATACCCTCCATACCAGTACCTTCCCTATGAATTCACATTTTTATCAGATAACTCTTAAGAGAAAAATCAATCAATAGGCATATAGATATTATGAAAGACATAAAAAACCCATTTAATTTTATATACAACTCAGAGATATGAAGGAAGGGAAAATGGAGAGGTGAGATGGGAGCTTTCCTTCTGTCTACTTCGGTAGGAGGCGAGCTTCCTCACATGACCCGTCACTTAAATACTCTAATCCTACTTAATTTAGTAACCTAATGGAAAAACACCGTACATTAATAAGCATATACTTTACTTCCTTTTTAAGTGTCCGTAGCTCCTCTTGAGCTGCTTGGCTGTGCGAGGGAGTTGGTCAGAGTTGCTGGCGTTGAATGAGGCAGCAATTTCACCCCAGGCCTCTCTTTTCCGCATTTATTGTGTTGCTAGTAGACCTGCTATGCGCTGGGTAACGGATGCTTGGTCAAGGTCACCTACTACAAGGCGAAACACGCCCGTTGGACGACGGCGTGTGTGTGGGGGCGCGCCCAAACATTTTTGGGCCGCTCCACCCACACAACCGAGGTGGCGACGTGTGCGCCCAGAGAAGCGTGCGCCGACGAGTCGGCATGCCGCTCATTATCTGGTGTGAAGTTTGAGTGGGGCAGTATATCTATCAAATGTTAACGCAGGTGTCCCAAGACTAGCTCAACCTTTCTCATTTGTGGGGACATGAGCTCAAGCTAGTGAGCGCCAGCGTTGCCCAATGACTATTTCTGCTTTTTTCACGGGTGGGACCCACTATCATCAATTGTTAGGTGAGGATAGAATGGGTCACCCTGTTTGCTTCGAGTTTGTGGCAAGAACTATTCTTAGTTTGCTCGAGTACTAGAATGAGACATGCACCCCGGTCATGTTGAACCACGAGCTGTTATCGCATTGACTGGTGGAATAAATCTCGGTCAAGACACGATGAGCCACTGCATTGAAGGCTGCAGCATATGCTGTGACGGAAACTGTAATGGCTACGTGCACGCCCAGAGAAAAACTGCTGGAACGTGTTCGCCCAGAGAAGCGTGGCGACGTGCGCGCCCAGAGAAGCGTGGCGACGTGCGCGCCCAGAGAAGCGTGGCGGACGCAAGGCCACGAGAGAAGCGTAAGGGACGGCGCGCCCAGAGAAGGGTGGCGTGTGCTCGAGACCAAAGCGCAGGAGGCTTTGATTATGGATTAATCAGGAGTATTTCACTAGTAGGTCAATACACCAGCTGGGACGTCAGCCAGGTTCCTGGGCAGACCCCCCAACCAACCACCCCGACCGCGCTCGCGCGGCAATACGCCGGGTGAGACCCTGGGGGTCTCACCCGGCAAACGCCGCGCGGGCGTGGCCAGAGGCAGCCGGCTGAGGATCTGCCCAGGACGCACCAGGCGTCCGTTGCCCTCATCTCGCCTTCAGGCTCAGTGAGCCCATCGACTCCCACACACGCTAGACTCCGTGGTCCGTGTTCCGAGGTGGGTCGGGTGGATCACCGACCCTCTGCACATCGCGAGAGCGAACCCCCACAGTTGAGGTGGAGGCGGCGCTCTTCTCTACGACTGTCGTAGGACAGCCAGGATACTGGCGGTTGCCCCCAGTCGTGCGGAACTCCCCCCTCCCCCCCACTCAGACGAGCTGAGAGAGTCGGTAGTGGGGTGCCAATCCGACAGAACCTTCGACGTCCCCGGCTACTGGTCGCGGTCACCTACTACAAGGCGAAACACGCCCGTTGGACGACGGCATGTGTGGGGGCGTGCCCAAACATTTTTGGGTCGCTCCACCCACACAGCCGCATACAAGCTGAGGTGGCGACGTGCGCGCCCAGAGAAGCGCGGCGACGTGTGCGCCCAGAGAAGCGCGGCGACGTGTGCGCCCAGAGAAGCGCGGCGACGTGTGCGCCCAGAGAAGCGCGGCGACGTGTGCGCCCAGAGAAGCGCGGCGACGTGTGCGCCCAGAGAAGCGCGGCAACTTGTGAGCAAAATATTAGCCGCTATACTTCCGACGGCTTTTTTAACTTAAGAAAATTTTTGACAAAATAAATTAATGTAGATTTATTTACTTTAAATCAAATTATTTAATTGTAAAATGTAAGAAAATAAATTTCTAACAGCATGTATATACTTTTATCCTATTCACCACTGATTGGCTTGTTAGCCGCTTGGACGATTGGTCACGTCTGTTACGCATGCCCAGGCTCCTGAATGTACCTGAACCTGCTCCAGTGTTGGTGAGGCAGGAGCAAGGACTGGTGAGGCAGGAACAATGACTGGTGAAGCAACAATGACTGGTGAGGCAGGAGCATTCACTGGTGAGGTAGGAGCATTCACTGTCGAGGCAGGAACAATGACTGGTGAGCACAGTTGATGGCCCTGGGGTTGGAACAGGCAAAACTGCAAAAAGTCAGTATAAGGTAGGTCACTGCTGCCGTTTGATTTTTACACAGCCAAAGGCGATTGAGCAATGGTATCAATGAGAATGCATACAACTGTATAAATCAATAAATATTCTCACCTATCTGCACATTCTATAAGGAATTATTTCTTCATCTACTGGGTGACTGCGGAAGGTCTCGTAAAAATCACCAGCCACTGCTAACTCGGCCCTCATCAGTGATGCTGTTAAGGCAGTTTCTTCTGAAGCTTTTAATATTTTTTTCTCGTGGACCACCACCTGTCTTTTTAAGCTTTCGGTCTTCTATATCTCTGTTTTTATAGTTCTGAAAGAAACAGAAGAAATTAATGCTGTATAACAATAGCAGCAGCATTGGCTTTTATAATGCTTTCATCACCAATGCCTATGGCCAAAGGGGATGCAGAACAGACTAATATCATTTACTGTACATATATGCATCACAAAAGAAATATATGACGGTTTTGTAGGATTTTACAATACAGTAATATTCAAAGAGTGTATATAGTTTAAAAAATGTAAATTTGCCATAAAAATGGAGTACAAAAACATGGTTATACTTTACGATGCTGTTGTGCACTTACATCAGTTGATCGAAAACACAGAAAAAACATTTTGAAGTAGGCCTAAAATACTGTAGGCTAGTCACAAGGCTACAGTCATACCTGCAATGTCATGGTTGTAAAAAGCTGCACAGCTTGGTTCATGTACAATTGCCCCCCCATTGCCAGTGAATAACTGGCACAAAACATGGAAATAACCTAGCCTAGCCTCACCTAACCTCACCTACCCTAACTTTAACTTAACCTACCTAACCAAATATTAAATACGACAGCTACAATTTTTTTTCACTTAACCATAAATTATGAGTTGTCATTTTGTTTATATAATTATTACTACAAATAAAGCACTAATTCATAGTGTTCCATGTCCTACCCTCCATACCAGTACCTTCCTAATAAATTCACATTTTTATCAGATAACTCTTAGGATAAAAATCAATCGATAGGCATATAGGCATATTGTATATAATTTATTTAAGTAGACATAAAAACACTTATTTTTATATATAACTCAAAGATATGAAGGAAGGGAAAATAGGGAGGCGAGATGGGAGCTTTTTGGGCCGCTCCACCCACCCAGCTGCAAACAAGCTGAGGTGGCGACGTGTGCACCCAGAGAAACGCAGCGACATGTGCACTCACGTGGTCATGCGCGGGGGAAGGCCCTTTTCCCAGTGGGGGGAAAGGGTCTCAACCACGCAAACGCCACACGTGCACGGCCAGAGGCAGCCAGTTGAGGATCTGCCCAAGACGCACCAGGCGCCCGTTACCTTCATCTCGCCTTCGGGCTCAGTGACCCCATCGACTCCTACACATGCTAGACTCCGTGGTTGTTGTCCCAAGACGGGTCGGGTAGATCAACGACCATCTCGCAGGGAGGCAGGACACCAGTGGTTGCCCCTCTCGCAGTTCAGCCAGGACACCGGAGGTAGCTCGCCACTCCCCCCCCCTCCCTCCAAGATGAGCCGAGTCATTGACGGTGTACCAATCCGACCGAGCCTTTGACGTCCCCAGCTACGGGTCGCGGTGACCTTATTACGGATTTGGTTCAGTCTACGTTATTACGTTTAATTAACTTAAGCTGGTTAAGTTAGGTTAGTAAAGTTAGTCGAAACCCACCCACAACAACTTGCTTTACTTGCTGTATTTACTACTACTACCACTACTACTACTAATTTTCTCTAATAACCAATAGGCATGTAGTCCTGTATATTTATACTGTCACTACAACTAAAATTAATTTTACTCGAAGACCAATCTGTCCACTCAGTACTCACGAGCCCTCCTTCACACACAGTCCTCCAGAGCCCTCCATCACAGTCCTCCAGAGCCCTCCTTCACACACAGTCCTCCAGAACCCTCCATCACACAGTCCTCCAGAACCCTCCATCACACAGTCAGCCAGGCCCCCCACACACCCTCCACTGCCGAGTGTAGAAGCACGGTGTTGAGTAGTTTATGGGATGACCATAATAGCCAAGATATATATAAGTAACTTAACTGATGAGGCTGAAGTAACATGCTGGGTGTTAAATGTTGCTCAAGGTTCTGTCACTTCTCCATTGGGCTTCACATACATCAGCTGTCACCTGCAACATGTTTAAAGTTGGCATTTATGTAGAATGAATGTTAAACATACAATATCCATCTACCACTAAACAACATGTAGTTAAACTGTCGTCAAATGTACATAATTTTTCAAAAATTAATTATTTACAAAAGTCAAATTTAACTTCTTTCAAAATTAACTTATGAATTCATGATCAGTTAACGTAAGTGACAAAAAAATACTGAATTATGTCTTGGAATAGTTTATCTTAGGTTAATATGGTTAGTAAAGTTAGTTGAAACCCACCCACAACAACTTGTTTAACTTACTATGTTTACTACTGCTACTAATTTTCACTAATAATCAATAGGCATACAGTTCTGTATATTTCTACTGTCACTACAACTAATATTAATTTTACTCTAATATCAGTCTGTCTACAGATCGTCCTCCATAGCCCTCCAACACAGTCCTCCAAGAGTGTCCGCCAGGCCTCACACACTGATCACTAGGTCTACACACAGACCTATTAGGCCTCAAACAGTCAGCAAGGCACCCCCCACTGCCCAGTGTAGGAGCAGTGTCGAGTGGTTTATTGGATAAAGATACTAGCTAAGATATACTGTACAAGTAACTTAACTGATGAGGCTGAAGTAACATGCTGGTAGTTAAATCTTGCTCGAGGTTCTGTCACTTCTCCATTGGCCTTCACGTACATCAGCTGTTACCTGCAACGTGTTTAAAGTTGTAATTTACGTACAATGAAAATTAAACTTGCAACTAGATCACATGTACTTAAACTGTCCCCAACTGTTTACATAAATCATTACCTCCACATTAGTTTACCAATACAGTACGACTACACTATACTGTACTGTACTGTACTGTACTACACTGCTTCATGCACTATACACAAGGTTTATTACAGCTGACTAGACCTTCCCTCCCTCATGCCCCCTTAAGTGTCAACACCCCACACCCTCTCGCAAAACGTTAAATGACCCCACCACAAGCCCAACCCACCTACACTCAAAACGTTATACGACCCCACAACAAGCCACACCCAGCTACACCCTCACAAAACATTAAACGACACCACAGGAAGCAACATCCACCCACAACCCCTCACCAAACATTAAATGATACCATAGCAAGCTACGCACACCCACACCTTCACACAAAACGTTAAAATTGACCTGAAGGAACACCGTTGTGTATTGTGAGAAGCTTCACTCGTGGTCTGTTGTCCCCACATACTGCTCCACACTTCACTTGTGTCCTCATACTGCACCACACTGACCACATACTGCACCACACCAATAACAGAGGGTTTTGTACTGTAGTTGAATCTGCAGTCATTCCATGATCTGAAAAAGAAAGATTCGCCAACACATTGTAATACGTCGATTGGCTTAGGTTAAATTGATCTTCAGTTGAAATAAGCTGGGGGATGAATCTTCAGGCGAGCCAAACATTTTAACATTTTCCAGAGGTTAATTAGATGGTTACGGCCTTATTTACCAATACATTTTAACGGTGTCTTTATATACATCTTAACATTTATTTTAGGAACCCGGTATTTTTTTTTTACAAGCAGACAACCAACGAACCTCCAGGTTAGGCTATGTTACGTTGTTAGGCTACGTTACGTTAGTTTAGTTTTGGTGCTTTTTGGTTGTTGACCAATGTGTTTTTCCGATGCTAAAATCCATGGTTGTCCACTTTTAAAAATTTAATATACACTGTACAAATATTCTGAAACCCCTCAACCTCGCCCTCCGCCGGCTCCCTTGCCTCGCCCGGCTCCCTACCTCAACTCGCCTCGCTTCGCTTCCTGTCTGGCTTCTTGCCTGCCTCGCCTAGCATGCCTCGCTTCGCCCGGCTAAAACCCGTAATAAATTCGGTTTCAACTCCCAGAAATCCTAGTTAAAGAGGAAGCAAAGAACTAGCCAGTGAAAAATATTGTATCGTAATTCCACAAAACAGTTATATTTTGGTGATGAACGTTAGATGAAATGCGTAACTATTGAGTTACGACCACCCGGCTCCGCCAAAAGTGGGCTGGGCTTCGAAGCAAGAGGGAAAATGTGAAATTAAAAAAATAAATACAATAATTTCACCCAATCTCGTCATTGCACTCACTTACTGGTTAATTATAACGCAAATACTGATGTGCGGTTTACGCTTGTTACTCGCCACCGGTTTATAGTTTCGGCTCGGTTGTTATGGCTCATTTGGCGGTATACTTGCCCTAAAAGTTTTAAAACGTTAATAAATTACTGGTTAGACGTTAGAGAAACATTTAATATAATACTAACCCATATTAATGTATTTGTTTAAGCTGCAAAGTAGGTATCATAGGCCTTACGGCCCAGTGAAACTTGGGGATACGTCTCTAGAAGCCAAGTGAACTGCAACAACCGGCTGGTAAGTTTGTTACTTAAATCAGCATTTATTACGCCATAATTAAGTACATATAAACACTAACCAAAAGAATAACCATTTCTCTTGGCCATATTGACTGTAGACAGTCGGAAAAAAATTACACGTATATAATAGAGACTAGAGGTGCGGGGTGTCTTACCTCCCTGTCAGCTGCAGCTAGTGAGTGAAGAATGGACCGAAAACGAGTTCGTCGAGACTTTATATATGAAGGTTGAGAGTGACGTCACGAAGCTTCATTGAAGCATTTGAAGCTTCGAACATGATTATACGTTCAAATATCGTAAAAACGTCAAATTTATGGCCGAACTGCGGTCCAGTGGATAAGCTTTCTGTTTGCTATTTTAGAGGACCGAGATCGAGTCACGGCGTTACTCTATTTTATTTATCTTTTTCTTCTTTTTTTTTATTATGGAGAACTATTTTCGGATCACCTGAAGAATCATCGCCCCAGCTTATTTCACCTAACGATTAAACCACCCTAAAACTATTGTGAGAGGATGAGGTTAGGTTAGGATATGTTAGGTTAGATTTAGGTTAGGATAGAATAGGTTTAGGTTAGGTTAAGTTAGGTTAGGGTGGTTTAATCGTTAGGTGAAATAAGCTGGGGTGATGATTCTTCAGGTGATCCATTACCTCTTTTAACAATATTGTTCTTGATCTTTCGTGACTTAAGTTAACTGTAGTGGAGAATTTAATATCAGTTGACTCAAGTAGACATTCAGTGACTCCTGCTGACCTGCGGATGTTTATGTTGTTCTTTTTCAGTGGCTTATCGTGAGTGTCTGTGTGTGTATCAATTTCCGGTCTTCATCCCCTGTGGTCATCCTGTTATCTTATCTTATGCTTTTCTTCTCTATTCATCTTCTTTATCTCATTCTGTGCATTCATTCACTCTAGTAGACTAGTGTGTGTGTGTAAGGCCAATACTCTCTCTATCTTTGCTCTCTTAATTTTCCTCTATCTCCTTCTATCCCCCTTTCTTTCTTGCCCTCTCTCTATCCGTGTTTAACTCACTGGTGGATGTTTAGTTTTAATTGTTTACTTGTGTGTGAGACTAAGGACGGTGGGGAGGATTGTTTTTCTTCAATAAAGCGCCATCTATCGTCGACCACCACAACTTGATCACAATTCACTTTACGTTTTCGTCTTATACTTAACGGGAATTTAATAGAGCTTAACATTAAGGGAAACACTAATATTAACATTATAACAGTAATTTTTCGAACAATATTTAGTAAGAATTTGATAGAGAGTTAAACCTCGATTTGTTACACTGACAATTGATGTGACCATTACAACTGTGTCGGGAATGTAATCACGGATTTCCCCGACACTGACAAACAGGATGTACTCCGTTTACACAAATACATTTGCGTGAGCTCACCACTAATTGAATATTTTTAATGTTAACGCAGTATTTTAAACAGTAATGCAG